CTGGTTGGAAACTTTTTGTTAACAGACAATTTTATGTTGGAAGCAGATTAAGTATTTTTCGATGTGCAATTAGAGATTGCCATACCCGTGGCAGAAATCTCGCTGGTTTCTGGGATGAGACCTTAACCGCATTAGCTCAAATGCATTGAAACGGAAACGCGAAGAACATGGTATTACCACAGCCATCGTCTTTTAATCGTTTCCTAGAAGTAAAATTGCATTGGAAAGACAAAAGTTGCTGATGTTAAAGGCCAGTGTAGCTTTTCGTGAGAGAGTGGTACAAAGTCGAGGAGCAAAGGAAACATGTGGTTATCTGGATATTAGACGTGTAACACCATGATCAGCAAGCTAAGTAAAACACGGCGATCAATGCAACGGCTGAGAAGAGTTTGACACCCTCAACGGCTTGGACAAAGATGGAGTCTGGGAAAAATGCCACGAAGTAGGCATGTAGATCCGTGTCGGCACCCAAGCTGACTGGGGGGCTTTCATGCGAAGCTTAGTGGTATTTGGAAATAGTGGTATTACGTGATGTTCGACATTACGTAAGTTATTAAATGCATTTGTGAGAAACGTCATTCACATAGATGAGATAGTAGCAATAGTCTTAATCATCAGAGAAAAGTTAGGAAAATGGAGACATAGATGCGCTGCTATTTCGGCAACATGTCTTTATCGAGACGAATAGCAGAAGGTAACGTACGTTTTGATGATTGATTGCCAAGTGGTTGAGACGTTTTGGTAATAGCTAGGTTTTTTCAAAAGTGGTAAACGGGAATATCGAGAGATGGAACTGCACCTCCTTAAATCGTTTTGGAATTCACACCGATAGTAAGCGCGATCTCAGCCCGTTTTCCTTCTGGTTTAATCGCTCACATGGAAGCATGCCAAATGTGAGAGAATCTGGTTGAGCCCTTGTTTATGATACGTTTAAGGACCTTTCAAGGAATGCAAGCGTGCGTTCATGACATAGAAGGTAGATCCGTGGGATTCATGCCACTGTGGAGTGACACAGAAAAGATTATGTGAGCGTTATAACGGAATGCAGCTATGTAAATTTGTTTCAGCTTGCTGTGTTTGTTATGTTATGTCTTGTGCAACTTTTAAAAAAATACGAAAAAAAGAATTATTCCCAGCGCAGCTCACCCGGCAGACCACACACTGTCAGACATGACATCTTAGATGCGTACCGGCTGCAGACGGCTCTGGCAGGCTCGCTTGCTGGGCTCATACGTGCCGGCTGCAGACGGCTCTGGCAGGCTCGCTTGCTGGGCTCAGCGCCCACCATGCACACGAGTCCGACCGATCTTTGAATGCCTACCCCCAGCGGTAGTCGAGTTTTTGTCTGTCTGTGCGCCTGGTTTGGCCTGTCGTGGGCCACGTCCGCCTGGCTCAGGCCGGGACGCCTGATCACCGCCGCGGATTGTGGAACTCCCTCCAACCGCGCGGCGCGACAGCTAAATACCCGCCACGTACTGTGCTGCAGATCAGTCACACAGCCACGTACTGTGCTGCAGATCAGTCACACTGGTTCCACGACATAGGCGCAGCTGCAAAAACTACTGACAGGGATGCTACGGCATTAACGACATTATTTTTGCCGCCAACACTTATACGTGACACTAGTGCTAAGATATTACTTTTACTGTCAATGCTCATACGCTACATTAGCTCTGCACCGTAAAACTTCTCTTCAAAAGTGATATCCGTCACTTTCACAGGTGCGGAATATCTACAGTTCCTACTTATAGGCGACATTACCTCTATCGCAATGTGTCTATAGCCTTGAGATATGCATGGCCTTATTTATGTTGCAAAAATGTGTACCTCCTTTACTTATGCATAACATTACTTCCACTGCAAAACTCACAGCTATTAACTGTACACATTACTTCTACTTTGAATACCTACACGCAACATTAATGCGACGCCACACAAATTGTGCATCAAAAGCTTATTCCTGTCATCACTTATACCGCTAAAACTCAAAAGACTTGACCTACGCACGACATTACTTAAACTATGAATACTTTTACGCGACATTATTGCTGTACGGCGAAAGTTGCGCTTTACCAACTTATACCGGCCACTGCTCGTGCTGCAAAAATGCACTAGGTCTTAAGTCATACGCGACGTTGCTTGCACATACAGTATTCACTGACCGGCATGATCCGGCACGGCAGGTAACGGCACGGAACGGAAGAGTACAATTTAACGGCGCGAAACGGACGCAATGGGACGGGACAAGGTAGGCGGGGCGGAACAAAGTAAGGTAGGTCAGGGCAAGACAGACGAAATGGCAAATCAGGGCAGGTAAAGGACAAGTTTGAGCCTGGGAGCACAGAACGGGTTTCGAGGTAGACAAGGTACACTGCCATTGTAATGTCTGGCCCTCTGCCTGTTTTGCCTGTCCTGCCGCCTGCCGCCCGACCCTCTGTCCATTCCCTTTTTAACATGCCCACCGTATTGCCCTGTTCTCTTGGATCAGCCTGCCCAAAGAGAGCTCCAGCCCATACCCCGCCCTATCTATTTCCAGCCCTGCATTGACCCTTGTCCGCAATTTGCCCCCAGCCCTCTTTCCTTTCGTATGTAGAAACTCCTTGCTATCATCAAAACAGTCCTTTGGTCTGTTCTTTTTGTTGTTTGTATTATATATCCATTTACTTAGATGCTCCGACTTATCAGGTCATATTACGCCTTGGCGTGTCCCCAATCATATCCTCTGCCTCGTTTTCTGCCTGCCATCTGTCCCGTACTCGCGCTGTTCTTTGTTCTGATGCCTCTGTCCTGCCATCTGTCCCGCACCAGCGCTGTTCTTTGTTCTGATGCCTCTGTCCTGCCATCTGTCCCGCACCAGCGCTGTCCTTTTGTGCTGATGCCTCTGTCCTGCCATCTGTCCCGCACCAGCGCTGTCCTTTGTTCTGATGCTTTTCCTCGGTCCTGTACAGTTTTGTTCTGTTCCCACCTTAGATAAGGTACAGGAAAATTCCACTGTTAAAGCTCTGTATCTGGCCATGTTACATTAAGGCTAGGAAATGCTGTCTTGCTGTGGTTTTTGCGAGACTAAAGGAGCTAAGCGATCAATTTTATAGGTTTAAATGACGTTCCCGCACCGATGAAACTCGTTTGGGAAAACTGGACTTTTTCATGCAAGTGTCAAATGGAATCACATTCTTCTTTCCTCCGAATAAAGCAGTGTCCCAGGAGACCAAGTCTCGGCAGAACTCGCACAGTGCTGTAATATTGGAGCACATCAGGTCACCACGCTCCGCCCAGCTCACCATATCTCGGCAGAACTCGCACAGTGCTGTAATATTGGAGCACATCAGGTCACCACGCTCCGCCCAGCTCACCATATCTCGGCAGAACTCGCACAGTGCTGTAATATTGGAGCACATCAGGTCACCACGCTCCGCCCAGCTCACCATATCTCGGCAGAACTCGCACAGTGCTGTAATATTGGAGCACATCAGGTCACCACGCTCCGCCCAGCTCACCATATCTCGGCAGAACTCGCACAGTGCTGTAATATTGGAGCACATCAGGTCACCACGCTCCGCCCAGCTCACCATATCTCGGCAGAACTCGCACAGTGCTGTAATATTGGAGCACATTAGGTCACCACGCTCCGCCCAGCTCACCATATCTCGGCAGAACTCACACAGTGCTGTAATATTGGAGCACATCAGGTCACCACGCTCCGCCCAGCTCACCATATCTCGGCAGAACTCGCACAGTGCTGTAATATTGGAGCACATCAGGTCGCCACGCTCCGCCCAGCTCACCATATCTCGGCAGAACTCGCACAGTGCTGTAATATTGGAGCACATCAGGTCACCACGCTCCGCCCAGCTCACCATATCACGGCTTTCATTTCTTACAGTTCAGCCTAGCTCCAATCAGCATGTCGAAAGGTGTTTTAGCACAGCAGGCGCCATGAAATCGAAGAAACAGCGGGCTGTCGCAAGACAATCGTGGATGTTAATATACGTGGATTCCCAGCACGGGTGTAGAAGCGATTTGTTGTTTGGTACGGGACCTCCCAACTAGATAATTTTGCAATGAAAAGAAATGGGGCAAAATGGGCGGTCGGCAATACATTATGTTACATTATGTTGTCATTTTGTTGCGCATCACGCTTAAGTTTAGGCTGCAGACCTACTAAAAGTAGGCTTTAGGAGTCATTGCAGTAGAAGAAATGTTGTATCATAAGTGTTGTAACACCACGGAATGGCTAAACCTAGGCATATTATCTTGCCATATAAGCATTGGCAATACAAGTAATGCGCATGCAAGTAAAAAGTGCATGGTTTTGCAGTACTAGTAATGATTGGTGGTGATAATGATTGGTTTGAAGTGTGTGCGTTGCCGCAATGAAACACTGACAGCAAAATTACTGTGGCATATACAAAAAACTGCATAAGTATTTTCAGTGGGAGTAAAGACGAGCATATGTTTGTGAAGTATAGGTTGTATCACGTGGGACTAATGCTCGTAGCTATTTGAAGTAGATGTAATTTCGCGTAGAAGAAATACCAGCTCAGTTCTGTCGATCGCACTATTTGCGGTAGCACTAACGTGGTAACGTGGTAACGCATGTCATACCCGTGGTATGATCACTCTAGGCCAAGCAAGTGTTGTATAATCAGAGAGGACAAATAACACGGAATATTATAACAGAGTGCTGAAATGTGTTGTCAATCCTCTTTTCCATCATACGTACTCACTCAGAAAAAAGAGCGTGGCGTCCAGAATATGACCTTTACTGCATGTTTGTTTATAAAAAGACTCATTGCTTCCATACCTCGCACCGCCCTGCGTAAGGCGATATGATCAGGGACAATCTGATAGGTCTGTCCGGTAGATAACTTTGCCCGTGTATCCGAGCTGACAAATCACTGAGTGGGCTGCGTTGGATGCAGATCTGTCGACCTAAGCAGTGCGACCATGCGCTGCAGTCTCAGGCCGTCCGCTGACCATGGCGTCGGCGCCGTTTCCAGGCGGCGCCTTCCGGGTGGCTCGGCGACCCACAGCCGGTGTCTCATGTTCAGCGCCGCGCTGACAAACGCCACTGATGACTGGCGAAACACCACTTACGACGCTGGCGCGACCCCAGCTGCGTCTTCAAACCAAACGGCGGGCGTGACAGGTACGGTCACACCGCTGCACCTCGAAACAGCGCGGGGCACCATGGCGACAATACCGTCGACAGCATTGATTGCCGGCAATACCGTCGTACTAGGCAAATACCGGCATTGCCGCTGGAACTGCGGTACGTTCCCGCAAAGCGCATGAAGCTTCATCTGCTCACCGTCCTAGGAACCCTCTATTATTGATAACGCCCTCGAGTTAACTCGTCGACTTGTAATTCCTAAATAATCCCCCGAAGCGCAAGACTGGCCAGCGTTACCGACCAGCCTGCTGTGACTTGCGGCTCGTCCGTACTTCAACTTTTGTGTCCTTGCTGGCAGCGTGCCAGTTCGGCTGGGAATTCGACCGGAATGACTTCTCGGAAACGGCCGTGTCGGCCTTCCAGTGGGTGTGCGACCAGAGCCAGGAGAGCACCCGGCTACTCACCACGTCCTCCGTGGGAAATCTCCTGGGCAGCATCGTCTTCGGTTGGCTGGCCGATAGGTGCGTCGTGCCGGCGTCACGTGCCTGACCGTGCCGGTGTCACGACCGGGTCTGTCAGACACGTCCGCTCTGGCGTCACAGTCGGGTCTGTCAGACACGTCCGCTCTGGCGTCACAGTCGGGTCTGTCAGACACGTCCGCTCTGGCGTCACAGTCGGGTCTGTCAGACACGTCCGCTTTGGCGTCACGGCCGGGTCTGCCAGACACGTCCGCTATGGCGTCACGACCGGGTCTGTCAGACACATCCGCTCTGGCGTCACGACCGGGTCTGTCAGACACGTCCGCTATGGCGTCACGACCGGGTCTGTCAGACACATCCGCTCTGGCGTCACGGCTAGGTCTGCCAGACACGCCCGCTCTGGCGTCACGGCCAGGTCTGCCAGACACGTCCGCTCTGGCGTCACGGCCGGGTCTGCCAGACACGTCCGCTCTGGCGTCACGGCCGGGTCTGCCAGACATGTTCGCTATGGCGTCACGATCGGGTCTGCCAGACACGTCCGCTCTGGCGTCACGGCCGGGTCTGCCAGACATGTTCGCTATGGCGTCACGATCGGGTCTGTCAGGCACATTCGCTCTGCCGGCACGACCAGCTGCCAAATAACAGCCCGTACCGTCCGCTACCACGTTCGGGATAACCGTCGCTGCTTTCTAACAATCGTCACGATGGAGGATTTTTACCAGCGCGCGAGGTGAGACCGAAGACGCCCATCACTTGTTTCCAGTCTCAAATCGGCAGGCGCTAACCTGTGATGAGTAGAACGCTTGGAGAGATGGGGAAGGTTTTAGGGTGTGAAAATGCATAAGGAAAATGCAAAATGCAAAATGCAAAATGCAAAATGCATAATCACACCTTCTCACCCTGGCTGAGAAAACCGATAGTTCCAATAAATAACCAAATAGTTCCAAACCAATCTGAAACCAATAATTTTAAAAAATGAAGGCGACAGTGTCTTCCACACCATACACGTTAGAAAAACCTGTTCAGAGCTCTTATAGAGATCAATCAGATTAGACCATCGAATTTGTTCTGTGGACGACTATTTTGTTTCACGCATTTGGCAAGTAGGCGAGAGTAGAGAGAGCTGTATCAGGTTTTACCCTGTGCCCCTTCGGTCGTAACTAGTGAGATAAGGACTAAGATGGTTATATATAAAGGCAGCGATAGCCTTCGGCTTCATATTTGAATTGCATTGTTTCGAGCGAAACAGCCTGCCACAGCCTGAGGTAAATCGCATCACGAGGTGGGGGAATTTGTTTTTTTATTGTTGCCCTTAGAATTGTCATATTGTCATTTGTCATATGCCATTTTGTCAGAGTAAGTTGCATCGCAAGCCAGTTTGATGCGTTGTGAAATGACAACCAGACTTGCTCGTCTGTGCTATTTGTCAAGTCGTCGTGATTATGACATGGCACATGTTTGCCCTTTTTATTCGTGTTTGTTTTACGACTACTGACACCTCGGTTTCGGTCACTCGGGCGGATGAAGGTCTGCATGGGTAATGTAGCTATGTTTTCTGATGACAGCAACTCATGGCAATCATGGCAGCCAACCATTGATAAGAAGTCAGTCAGTGACATGCTGCTGGTACATTATATCACTATATGCCTCATGATACAACATGCCTCATGGCGAGCTGATACAACAGGCACCGTTCGGCATTTTGAAAGAAGTTTGCGCCCCCTCCCCGAAATCCTTGGGAAGCAGACGCCACCTGTTTTGCAGTATATACGACAGATCCACTTCCCCACCATTCAGTATTGCATTTTCATCGTTCTTATTATGCCCTAAGCCCTTAAAGCCCTTTGCACCCATCGCCGTAGTTTTCAATGATATGCAAACACAGATTTGTCGCGATCATCCCAAGATGCGTGCATGTATGCGGTCGGAAAAAAACTGAAAGGTAGAGGGGGTTATTCTGCGTCGACTGAGTGACGCAAGACTGTTATCCGTCGCATATATTTTGAATATATCCCCCTGACAATACTTGAAAAGCATGCAACTCATCCTACCCTCCCCTACATTATAATGTACGTGACTTCATACACTCAGCATACATCAAGCTCCAAACAAATGTGTCAACGCAGTACAATGACAACTGATTTCGGCACCACCACGGATGACGGCATCTTGGTCGTCTAACTGGGGGACTGGCGCGTCAAATGATTTTGCCATTACAAGTCGTCTGAGGGTATTTGAAAGTTGCAAGCCGTATTTTTCACCAAAAACATTTCTCGTATTTTAGCACGTTGTTGCCAAGCAGCGTTCCAACCCTAAAATACGATGGATCCTATGGCCGTGAAGTTCGCGACTTATTCAGATATTTATTCATCGACGAGTTCCGATTTCTCTGAAGAAGATCTGTAGATCCATTATGGCACGGAAACATCGAAAATGACCTTTATTCCGCAATATCATGTGACCTTCGAGGTCAAAAGCCAGTTCAAAGGACGAAGAACTCGATATGACCCAAAAATTACCGCACCAATTTTAAACTTGCAAACATAAGAATAGTCACCACAAAAAGATCTAGCGTTTTTTGAAAAGTCCTGAACTCTCAAAGTCATCCTTCAAGGTGAAACGCGGGCTCAAAGGACGGGGAATTCAATATTACGGAAAAATTACCGGCTGATTTTTAACTTGCCGATGTCAGAATACTCAACACGTAAAGAACTAGTGTCCGTCAGAAATTCATGAGCTGTTAATGTCTCCCTTCAAGCTCAAACGCTGGCTCAATAGACGAGGAACTCAATATCACCCATAAATTACCGACCGATTTTGACTTGGAAGCATCAGAATGCTCACCACAGAAAGAGCTAGCGTCCGTCAAAAGGTCCTAACCCTTTAAGGTCATCCTTCAAGGTCAAACACGGGCATAAAGAACGGGGAACTCGATTTCACCCCGCAAAATACCGGTCGATATGATAACTGCGAGCAGCAAAACATTCACAAGCCAAGAGCCAGCGTCCGTCAAAATGTCCTGACCTTTCAAGATGACCCTTCAAGGTCAAACGCGGGTTAAAAGACGAGGAGCTCAATATCATCCAAAAATTACCGGACGATTTTGAACTTGTAAATATCAGAATATTCAGCGCAAAAAGAACTGGCGTCCGTCCAAAACTCCTGACCTCTCAAGTTCACCCTTTAAGGTCAAACGCGGGCAAGACTTTGACAGACGCTAGTTCTTTCTGTGGTAAATGTGTTGATGTTTGCAAGTTTAAAGTCGGTCGGTAAGCTTTGGTTGATATGGAATTCCCTGTCCTTTGAACCGTCGTTTGACTTTGAAGTGTGACCTTGAGAGGTAAGAACTTTTGACGCACACTAGCTCTTTTTGTGGTGAATATTCTGATGTTTGCAAGCTCAAAATCGAGCGATAATTTTTGGCTGATATTGCACTCCCCATCCGTTGAGCCAGTGGTTGACCTTGAAGAGTGTCCTTGAGAGGTCAGGACCTTTACGCGGACGTAAGTTCTTTCTGTTTTTAATATACGATGTTTGCAAGTTTAAAATCGGTCTGGTATCTTTTGGACGATATCGAGCTCCCTGTCCTTTGACCCTGCTTTTGTCCTGGAACGTCACATGATATTGCAAAATTATGGTCATTTTTGATGTTCTCGTACTATAATGAACCTTGAGACCTTTTTTGGAGAAATTGGAACCCGTCGCTAAATAAGTCCCCGAAGAAATCGCTAATTTCACGGGCATGTGAATCATGACTATTTTGCTATCGCTTAACGAAATCGTGCAATTTGTTTCCAAATTCCGCTACTAAAACGTTCCTCAGAATGGCTGCTGGTGTAGGAGATTCGTGATTGACACAACACACTCACCATTATAAAGCATCACTGCCACCAGTTCTGCCAACCTTCGCATGTTGATTTCCCCCTGCAGATGGATCGCACTGTAATTTCCACCGAGCCAAACAAAGAATGTGAATTAGCATAAGCATGTGCGTTCTTCCCTCTTATTGCAAACAGGACAATACGAGTGGTGTGTAGACCCAATAAAGTGTTTTTTCACAACAGCTGCATTAGAGAAATGCACATCTTTTCGCACTATTAAACTCTTTTGGCATCACTTTCTTACCTGAACAATCATTGTCAGTGGAACACTGTAGCTGTTTTTGGCTACTAAACAGACATTTTCGGTTCATTGCATGACGGTGCTCGGGAACATTGCATTTCGCTCTTCAGAGACTTCGGTATTTCCACTCTGGGGGACGCCGTCGGATGGCAACGCTTACCATAGAGCATCAGTCTTGCCCTACCATCATACAGAGGCCTCATTTTTGCCATCGTGTCGAGCTATGCGCTGCGCGTATCCTTAGCTCACAAGTGAGCAGCGCTGCACAGACTTAGCGTGGCTGACCGCCCCGACCGTGTAAACTGACTATGTGACCTGTCCATATAGCCCGATCACATGACTGACATAATTAAATAACTGCATGACCTGATCTGACCCTGAGACCCGACCGACCTTGTGACCTGGCGGTGTAACCTGGCGATGTGACTTATCCGTATGGTTTGTCCGTGACCTAGCACAGCGACCTGGCTGTTTAATCTGGCCGTGTGATGTGGACCTGTGCGTTTGCCGTGGCAGCTGACCGTTCGGCCTGGCTGAGTCACGTGATCGTGTGACCTAACCATGTGAGCTGAGCGAAGTGCCTTTGTACCCGTTTCTGCCAGGCTCGGCCGTCGCCTGGTGTTCTTCCTGCTGGCCGTCCTGCAGCCGCTAGTCAGCGTGGCCGGCGTGCTGGCCGCCCAGCCGACCGTGTTCATCGTCATGCGCTTCTTCGCCGCGCTCTGCTACCCCGTCATGTATCAGCTGGTCTTCACCATCGGTGGGCATGCGCTCTCCGCGTTGTGACATCGCTGCTAGGTCAGGATCATGCAGGGTACTCGTGGGCAGGCAGATCTGAATCACCTCTATTCAATGCATGTGACGCTGAATACTCTTGCGTCCATCACTTCATGTAACAGTTATGTCTGCCCAACAAATGTAATGGCTCATATCATTTCACAGTGTAATGCACTGTTGAAATGTCCACTCAGTGGTCCAACCTAGCCCAATGAACTGATCTGGAATATGGCCTTGGTTTATTGCCAATCTCCTTGCGAAGCCTTATGACACCTTATTCCGATACCAGTACAGTTTATGTAAAAGTCACATATCAAATAGTTTTGTATCGCGTTGTTCATAAGTCCGCAACGTCAGTATCAATTGAATCCGCATGATAGCAACGGCGTTTCACTGGCCGTGCGCGCTGCGGGTCGTCGCGCCGTGGGCACGGACTTCGCCTGGCTCTCAGTCGCAGGGATGAAGTTCACTGGCGTCTCTGCCGCGGGGATGAAGTTCACTGGCGTCTCTGCCGCGGGGATGAAGTTCACTGGCGTCTCTACCGCAGGGATGGAGTTCACTGGCATCTCAGTCGCAGGGGTGGAGTTCACTGGCGTCTCTGCTGCAGGGATGGAGTTCACTGGCGTCTCTGCCGCAGGGATGGAGTTTACTGGCGTCTCGCGGCGTACCTGCTACGCCGTGGTAGTGTCCATGGCCTTCACTCTGGGAATGTGTGCCCTACCACTTGTGGCCTACCTGCTAAACGACTGGGTGCACCTGGGCCTGGCCAGCGCTCTACCAACGCTGCTCTTCCTGCCCTGTTTCTGGTCAGTGCACATCGCTGCTTTTGGCCAGTGTATTGGAAAGGCGGCGCGCGACCAGTACACCGCGCCTCGTGGCACTAGCTGCGTATGGTGCAGCAACGGGTGCCCTCTGTCTCCTTATTGACTCTCCCTCGAATGGCCTTTGTGGAAGCACTCAAGACCTGTTCGAGTACCCAACTGCAAAACAGAAGTTGAGAGGGTGATCTGAGGGTTTTAAGACGTCTCTTTCCAGGCATCACCCATGATCGTGACGTAAACGTATGACATGTTGATCCACTTCACCGCCCTCGGTATGGGGAAGCTCATGGCATGCATATTAGAGTGCGTCATCGGTAACAGAACCAACTGAGACAAAGAAGTTCTTTGACGCTGGAGCCCAAAATCATACGGCATAGAAAAGTTCTTCCCAAAAACCTACACTCTTGACGTGCCAGCTGATTGAAATATCGCTGTAAACCGACGCCCGGCGTTGCAGTCACCATGTGCTGGGCGGCGCTGACCGCCACAGATGACACCAAACCGTGGGCGGCAAGAGATACAACATAGGTTTCCATACGGAAACAAAGCTACCGAGCGCTCCATAAGTCGTCGTACGAATATGTCCCGGGCTTCAGTCTAATATGCAGACCAGGCACTGCTCGATCGATTGTCATACGGGAGAAAACTTGATGTGCTGTTTGTCGGGTATGAACTCGTATGAGTTCGTTGGTTAGTACTTGCTTTGGGCTTTCACTTCTCTAAGACAGCTCACGCGCTGCAAATAAAACCATGCATAGCATATGCATCAGAATATATTGCCTGACGTACAGCTTAAAATATCTAGCAAGGTCCACAACCTGCACCATGGGCGTAGAGGGGGGAGGGGGGGGGGGGGTAAGGTGACCCCATGCACATCTTGCTCCTGGCCGAGCCTGCGTATTCGATCCACCGGCCCAAACAGGAGATGCTCAGAGGCCGGAAACCTGAAACGCGTGTGGGCGGAGATCCCACGTAGGGGAAATACCGTCGCAGCTGGGCTCTATATATTGCCGAAGCTCCAGCTTCAGCCCCAGACGTTTTCGGCAGTGCGGCGCTGGTTTCACTCTGTGATGCGGCGGGTACCTGGTCACTGCTGCATAGCCGCTGCCAGGCTGCTTGATACGCGGTGCTGCCGTCGCCATTCTGTGGTATGCACGTCTCCAGCTTTCCTGTCGCCGTGCTACTGAAGCAGAAGGTGGAGCCGCAGCACATGCTGTCTGTGGAAGCGCCGAGTGCTGATGAAGCGGCCCGCTCTCTGGTCCACCCTTTTTCGAGGGACTGTCCTCTATCCGGTAGGCGGGGCGAACGGAATGGTGCGGCGGCAGTGACGGCGACGGCTGCCTAGCCGTGGCCTGCTGCTACGACCGCCTGTGGCAGACGCATTTAAAGCGGCTGCTATAGAAATACAACAACCTTTGAGTTGCTGAAAAGAAAACACAGCGCATCTTGTAATCATGCATGCATTATCAATTTGCACTTTGAACAATTGGGACATAGAGGACGATAAAGATTCGGGCGAGTGTAAAACGAAATGGAAGTCGAAACGGGAGTCTGATGCTTTTAAGAATGTTATTAATTAATCAATTCCAGTAAACCTCCAGAGCAGATCTTTCTTAGACGTGACGCTGGGGATAATCTGGCGTTGCCTGAGCTTGGCCGTGTTGAGGCCATACCACGCCCCTTCCCTATCTGCGCCGAACACGCCTCGGTGACGATGCGCACGGCCCTCTCCACCGCCTGTGTGTGAGCCGAATAGGGAAGGATGACCAACAGATCCTGCACTATGTCCCGCAGCTCGCCGTCGCTGAGGTCTAGCGGTGGCGACTGTGAGACTGGTCGGCGCCAGATCCATTTCGGAGCACCTCACGGCCTTCGAAGTTTATTTCAGGGATAGCAAAAACCCTGGGCTGAAAAAGACCTCCGGTTTGCTGCTCACGTGAGGCGTGTCGCGTGTCGGAATCGCGTGCTCGCGGATCACGGTTTCGTACCCCGCCATGCCCAGCAGCAGCTGTTCCGGCCGGCCCCAGTACCCGTTGTTCGCGGATCACGGTTTCGTCCCCGCCATGCCCAGCAAGCAGCTGTTCCGGCCGGCCCCCAGTACCCGTTGTTCGCGGATCACGGTGTTCGTCCCCGCCATGTCCAGCAGCAGCTGTTCCGGCCGGCCCCAGCATCCGTTGTTCGCGGATCACGGTATTCGTCCCTCCATGTCCAGCAGCAGCTGTTCCGGCCGGCCCCAGCACCCGTTACGCTGGAGGACGGGCCTCACCTTGGCCTGTGTGTGCTGCGGCTCTCGCGGAGCTGCACGATGTTCCGGAACAGCTGCGTGAGCTACAGTCACAGATGCTGCTCTGCCCGATAGCGGACCATACCCGCACATAGTGCCAAACTGACGAGGTCCTTCTACACGTACTGGATGAGATTCTTGAGAGCGCTGCTAGAGGGCTCGTAGAGATGTTAGTTGGAGCGGGCGAGCGCCACTGTTAACCAATTGAAAACAAAAGCTTAAGAAAAGGCTCGAGTTCAGCACTAGCTATCGTTTTGGGGGCTCAAACTCGGCGCGGGCTCAGTAGCCGGCGGGGGGAGAATGACTTGGGGTTTAGTAAGCAGACACCGCCTCACTGCCGGCCGAGCCGCGACGCCCCTCGGGCCGTCTGGTGATCCTCCGCCGCCCTCGCGATCCTCCCTAGTTACAGTCCGTAGCCCGGTCACATTGCCCTAGGGTAAGCTTCCGGTACCTTCACAAAGGCTTTCCCGTAGTAGTCATTTGGTGGTAAACAGAGGAGCCGGGTGGCCTATCATAAAATGCTTGTGCATTATCTGTAGCCTTTGGAACGCCTATTCAGACCATTGTTCGGAAGAAACGTTTCATTGCCGGCGAAACTAAACCAACCAAACCCTTATCGGCCCTCACAGCAAGCTTATAAACGGCAAATCATCATCACAGTGAGGTCATCACTGTGATGTGTAAACAATCGCAACATTGAACCTGGCCCGCACTTCTGAGCACTCTCACAAGTGCACAGCTTTGGGTTGTTACCAAAAATTAATGTTTTTTATAAGCCTTTTGATGACCTTTTGCTGGTGGTGCATAACTCCACGGCGTAAAATATGTTGCTCTAATATCGAATACGATTTATAGCAGTATCAAAGAAAAACTGCTCTCTCTCGTCACGAATATAAACATTGGTACAGTGCGACAGACGTGAAAGTTATTACTAATCCATGTGTCAATGCAAAAACTTTGTCTCAGTTGATTCCAAGATATTCATCCCCCTGATGATGCAGCAATGCATATGTCCCGACTGGCAGCCAATGATGATGCAAGCAATGCATATGTCCCGACTGGCAGCCAGTGATGATGCACGAATGCATATGTCCCGACTGGCAGCCAATGCTGATGCAACCAGTGCATATGTCCCGACTGGCAGCCAATGATGATGCACGAATGCATATGTCCCGACTGGCAGGCAATGCTGATGCACAAATGCATGTGTCCCGACTGGCAGCCAATGCTGATGCACCAATGCTATGTCCCGACTGGCAGCCACGATCCATGTCCGAGCAGCAGTCGCAGCCTCGTGGCCTTGCTGTCGCAGCCTCGCAGCCTTGCTATTGCTGTCGGCTATTTCAGAAGTCACCATATCAGGCAATGCACACTGCATAAGTGACGCCACAAGAGCAGTAGCAGTCACTGCATGCTGCAAACTTTCCTCCGCTGTCACACAGCGTCGACGAAATGAATAGACAAGCGAAAGATGAAATGATGCATGTCGAATCCACTGGCTAGTCCCTGGCGGCCACAGGCTGGTAGTGATGTCTCTCTGTCTCCGTCTCTGTCTTTGCCTCTGTCTATGTCTCTTTCTCTCTCTCTCTCTCTCTCTCCTCTCTCCTCTCTCT